GGCGGAGGAGGAGGCGGTGGTGGAGGAGGCGCGCGGCCTGGAGGAGGAGGATGGAGGAGCAGCCGAAGGAGGGCGAGGCCGAGGTCGCGGAGCACTGGTTCTCCAAGTGGGAGCGCCAGTGCTTGGACGAGGCCGAGCAGGACGAGCAGCTGCCCCCAGAGCTGCAGGAGGAGGCAGCCGCCGAGGCGGCTGGGCTCAAGAGCGAGCAGCAGAGGCTCTGGCACCTCTTCCAGATCTCAGCCACCGCGGTGGCCCAGCTCTACAAAGATTCTGGGTGCCAACAGCCAGGACTGTCTATGTGGGACCCCTTCCAGAATGCAGCCATGGCCGTGACCAGCCTCTACAAAGAGAGTGGGGATGCCCACCAACGAAGTTTTGACCTGGGAGTCCAGGTTGGCTACCAGCGTCGCATCAAAGATGTGCTGGAGTGGGTGAAGAAGGGCCGGAGCACCATTCGCCGCGAAGACCTGATTAGCTTCCTATGTGGCAAAGTGCCCCCTGCCCCTCCCCCGCCACGCACCTCTAGGATGCCCCCGAAGCCACCCTCTGGGGCCGCTAGCCAAGCTGGGGCAACCGAGTCCAGCTCTTCGGTTGACGTCGACCTGCAGCCTTTCCATGAGGCCATTGCCCTGCATGGCCTCAATGGCGCCATGGCAAGCATCAGTGTGCGATCTGGCGCGCCTGGTTCCCCGCCTCAAGACAGCGGTGTGGCCAGCAGTGGACGACGAAAAAGTAGTTTCCTCGAGGATGACCTGAACCCCTTTGGCTCCGAAGAACTAGCCCTCTGCCTGGACAGTGGGGGGATCCGCAAGCGCACTTCGGCCCAGTTCGGTGATGGCATCACAGACTCCCCGTCCCACAAGCGCAACCGAATGGTCTAAACTGCCTCGATGGTCTCCATCCACCATATTGCTTGAGAGCCAACTCGACCTTCAATTGCTCGTGGGAGGAACATGGAGGCCATACTTCTTCTCTAAGTTAAACAAAGATTTCTATTAAGTTTACCATAAAGAAACTTTAAAAGTATTCCAGAAGAGGCCTCTCGTATGACTCTGACTTTCCAAAAATATAATTCTATTAGAGTACAACAAAAAGTACGCAGTAGTTAGCAAGATCATTTAAAGCAAAAGTATCCAGTCAGGGCGGGAGCCTGGTTTATCTTGTTCACAGTTATATTCCTTAGCATCTAGCTCAGTTGCTGGTGCTCAATAAATGTTTGTTGAATGAATAAATGAAATCTTAATTTAAAATCTTAAATGGAAAAGACAACAGGTGTTTACTTGGTTATAGGATAATTTTATCCTTTTTTGAGGGGTTGTTGGCTTTAATGGTCTTTGCCAATTTTATTACATTATGCCAAAATGTAAGATTTGATATCTTTGTGAAATCTGGAGTCTTCCACATTTACTCCACTGTACACTGCACCTAATTTCTAGAAAAAAAACTGGAAGTAATACATTTTGGGCTGTGATTTGCTTTGAAAAGTAGTTGATCATTTGGAGCTTATAATGGTGTAAAGAGGTGCCATGGTGGTTGGGCAGGTAATATGTGATATTGGGTAGATTCAGTACTCTCTTTATGAAAAGAGAACAGAACAATTGAGATCCTGATAAAATAAGTTTGTATCCCTAGTGGCCCGGTGGTGCTCCTTTTTCACAGGAATGTCAAAAGTTCCTTTCTTGGAGGTTATGTCTCTTTGGTGATCTCTATTTTGAAGTGGAAGACCAGTTAGCCAGAATGAACTTCTGGTTTAATTTAAGGGTGCAGCATGGTATAACTAAAAGACTATGAGCTTTGTATGAAAAGAACCAGTAATGGAATTCTTGCTTAACAAATTATGATTTGGGGCAAATCATATAATGTCCATTTACCTTAGTTTTTCATCTGTTAAATGGAACTGTGTGTCTGCTAAGATCATTGTAACAGATGAAGTCCATTCAAGTGTCTAACACAGTGCTTGGCACCTAGGGGTATTCACTTAATATTCTCCCCTCTCTGTAAATAAAAATAAGTAAAGCAACAAAGCCCATAATATCTTAGCAAAAGCAGCAAAATAGATCAATTTAGAAATCAGCAAATATAATCTCTATGTTTGATCTAGTTGGAATTCGCCTAAATATCACAGGCCTTGTATTAATTATGAGTGTGTTGAACTTGTCACTCAGGATCACCACTTTGGATTTGAAGGCAGCCTTAGAGTTCCTGAAACTGCCTGAATAATACACTTTGCAACCAGGATAATGAAAACTTTACCTCTTCTGATCTGAAAGAATATGGGGAGGGAGGTATGGGTGGAAAGTTTTGAAAGTGGACATCCTAGGGCACCTAAAAGGCTAAAAGTGGTTTTGAATAAGGGTGGGTACAGTGCAGGTAATAAAGGCAGTGGAGCAGGTAGGAGTGAGATTATGGGAGGAATGGTGAGAAACTTAAAAAACCCAAATCTCCTTCAAGGTCTCCCCAAAAATCCAAAGCACAAAACATTATCAATTTATTAGTAAAACTTTGCCTTCATTTCAAATCAGAGTTGTTCCTGCTTCATTAATATGACCATTGGAGTAAATTTATAGCTGACCAATGCATTAAAATAATGTAACAACATAAAGTGAATCCCCTGATAGAATAAAAACCTTGGTGTCACACTTCACAAATACTGAGGGACTTTGTTAGGTCCTGAGAAGGGATTTTTTAAAAATAACAACAACAACAAAAAAAAAGCAGGAAAGCAATCCTTATCCTCAAAAAGCACACCCTGCCTTGGAAGATAAATTATGTAGCCAAGAAAGCACTTCTCTATCTGTGAGGAAAGTACCCAAGGACTTTGGAGAACTCAGAAGACAGAGGCTTTCCTTGCTAAGAGGGTCATAGCTTCTAGACGAGATGACTTTTAAACCAAGCCAAGAAAAATGGGTAGGAAGGGAGTTTGCAGATGATGCCAACAAAGGAAGGATATCCTACAATGTTTGAGGAGGAAACAGTAAAGAAGGTAGGGGAGGTAGGACCAAAGTGTAGAAAGTCTCCAATACCTGGCCCAGTGCTTTAGATTCTTTCTTGGGGCAGAGAGTAATAGCACCCATACTGCTTTAGGAGTGGTTTGTCAGAATACTTGCTCATCAAAAGGTGAGGCACTAGAGCAGAAACAGCATGACATATCATAGGATGCTCTTCACCAGGGATATTGTTATTTGGTTAATCCAGCTTGCAGAGCTGTGTACCTTGAATAGGGCTTTCTCCAGGAAGCCTTTAGCTCACCACATCTTCCCACATCACAAACCATACAAGGTAGGAAACACTTTCAGTGTATTCTTCAATGCTTGAAGGTTTGAACCTTTAGTTCCAGCTGCAGTATTTCTCCCAGGGCTTGCCTTTTTTCATTCTTCCTACTTGTGCTGGAGGGCCCTCATGCATTGGAATCATTGGAGCATTTTGGGCTATAGGTTTGACTGAGGAACTGCAGCAATTTTAATAGGTATGTAGGGACAGTTGTAAAAGGCTATGTTAATATGAGCTCAGGGACTTCGTTTGTCTTACTTGCTTTGGTAATTCCTACTGTCTGGTCCATATAGACACACAATAAATATTTAATGAATGGAAAAGTACGAGACCTTCCAGACCCACTTATAACTATACCTCTTCCCCCTTTCTCTGTTCACTTACTGCCTGGAAAGGCATCTGAAGCCTATGCCCTAATTCCTAGATCACTGCCCCCTGCATGCCTGTACCTTATTCCTGACTATTAGATTCAGATTTTGTCCCATGACCACCTTCCATGAGAATTTTCCAAGGAGCACGTGAGATACAACTTTGAACAGCCCTGCAGCTGAATGAAAATCTCAGTGGGAGGGTTCTGAAAACTACCTCCCCCTTTCAGGAGAAGGTTTCGGTAATTGTGATGCATGGTGAACATCTGAAAACCAGTCTTGGCCCTGATTGTGAGTTGTGTGATTGATTCAAGGAGTTGTTTTTTTTTTTTTTTCTTTTTAGAGCATTATGGTTACACATAGCAGTTGGATTCATTTTGACAAAATCATACATGCATGGAATTTGATTTCAGTCCCTGTGCCCTTCATTTTCCCTCCCATCTTGTCTCCCCTTATTCTTCCTCTACTGATCTTTAAGGAGCTAATTTTAAATTGATTATTGTTGGTGAACTTTCTGTGCAGGTGTAAAGTGAATCTTCCTATTCATAAATATTATATTTACCATCATTTTGCATATTTCACACATTTTCTTTCTAGGAATGTAGATAGAAGCTTCCTCTTTGTTTTGTTGCTCCCCCGCTTTTACAGGGGCCTGAGAGAAAGCTGTAATTTCCTAACCTCTAGCTGAATATTTTATCCATTTGACCAATGCTTCCTAATAAAAATTACTTGTCAACTTGATAGTTAGGAAACATTGCAATTGGATCACATGGCCTTTTATGAAATGATGATGGAATAGAGGCCAGGGAGGTTTGGTTGCTGATTGGCCTGTGCCTTTGTGGAAGTCTATAGACCTCTACATTTAATATTTTAGTAACTTAAATCTGGTGAGGTCCTCACAAATACAGAGCCAAAAGGAACCTTAAAGATCACCCAGGGCATGGTCAACTATTCATTTTGGAAATGGGGCAGCTAATCTTACTAGGGAGGCCCACAGTGACTAACTGGTAAGTTCTAGTCCATTGTTCCCTTCACTGTACCTCCCTTAGTTATATTGTATATGAACTTTTATTTATTTATTTATTTATTTACTTATTTATTTTTAAATATTTAATTTTTAGTTGGACACAATATCTTCATTTATTTATTTTTATGTGGTGCTGAGGATCAAACCCAGGGCCTCGCATGTGCTAGGTGAGTGCTCTACCACTGAGCCATAGCCCCAGCCCTTGTGTATGAACTTTTAATTGATAAGTTGATGGTTGGGTGGTGTAGGGGAACTTATATTATGGGGCAGCTCTGGCATGGCAAACATGATCTTTTTACAGTTTGTGTTTCCTTGGGACAAGCCATTGGAATTGTTCATTCAGAGAACACAAGTCACCCCTTGCCACCACCACAGAGCTCTAGCCACCAGCCAAACTGGACCTCTTGAAATTTCCTGAAATTTCTATCATCTCTGCCTCTGGGCCTTTTTACCTGGTAGCTCTCTTGGTCAGAAATGCCTCCTCTACCTGCCTAACTCCTACTCAACTTAAAGCCTTAGCTCAGCTCAGTTTTTACCTTTCTAATTTTGGGGGATACTTCCTTGCCCTTTCAAGTTAGGGTTTAATTCCCCTTCCCACTGAAGTCTCCACTCTGGATTCATCATTGTAATTTTCAGTTTGATATTTTGTCTGCCCCACTAAACTGTAAACCATTCATTCTCATCCCAAGGGGTTCACTTCCTTAGAGAAGTATATAAAAATCTTCTACAATTGCACACACAAGTTGAAAAAGCATATTTAGTATTGCACAATACTTATATGTTTTTAATGAAAATATTTTGAAATTATATTAAGGGAGGGAAAGCTCAAAACAAAACTTCAAAGGAACAGTTTATTTTATGGGACACTAAACGTGCTTCCCCAAAGAGGTTGTGAATTTTCTTTTATAGACAAGGTTGCTGTGTCTCAGGCATCGATGGTAAGCACATGGAATCTAGGTTTAAGCCTTGACTTTCACAATAACTGGCCTTGATCAAGTATTTCTTTTCTGGGCCCTTTTGTGCTTGAACTATGAAATAGAGGAGTTAATTGTGTTAGACAATCTTTAAAGTTCCCATGAGCTCTGCATTTTAATCTGTGATGTCATTCAGTCAGCAATGGTAGTGATAACCTTCTTTCTGTGATATTCTCATTTTAGCAATTTAGCATCTGACTAGTTGAGCTCTGTGAACTCCTTAGAATAAGAACTGCTAATGTGAAACAATTCTGAGCTAGGGGACTCTCTAATGATATGGCATAGCCACTTGTATGATGGGAACATGTGCACAGTGCAGACTTCTCTGTGGTTCCATCTTCTTTCAGCAAGTCAAGAATGAAAAAACAATTCTGAATGCTTAAGAAGCACATTACAACGAATGCCCTCTTGTTTTAGCCACTGTTCTTCTTTGAAAAATATGAAATTGAATAGGATGATGTTACATAGACAGATGATTTTCTAGACTCATTAGACTAAAGGAAAACTTGGAGAGCCAGTGATTCTAAAGGCCCCAACTTTAGGGAGAACTGGAATGGAAACCATCCTGATCCATGAGCTGCTTTCCTCATGTTAAAGAGCTTTGAGAAGAGTCCAAAACCTTCTTCAGGAGCTGCCAGGCAGATCTTTCTAAAAAACACCCCAGATTTCAGAATGCAGCTCAGTGTGCTATTCTACTTCTATTGTGACCAAATGTAGACAAGTTGGCTGTCCAGCTCAGTGAAATAATCCTGCCTTTTTGGAAACCTTTCCTCTCCTAACCTTGGCTTCAAACATTTTTTTAAAAATCTGAATCTTCTTTTTTTTTCTGCCCCCTCCACACTGGTGTAGGGGATAGGACTCAGGGCCTCATGCATGCTGGGCAAGTACTGTACCACTGAGCTATAACCCCAGTCCCTCTTCTCTCTCCCTCTTGTCTCTCTCTCTCTCTCTCTCTCTCTCTCTCTCTCTCTCTCTCTCTCTCTCTCTCTCTCTCTTTCTCTCTCTCTTTAAAAAAGCTCCCAGCCTCTTGGTTTGATGTAATACTTTTGTTTCTTATATTTTCTAATGCCCTGCCTCCAAACACTACATATGGCATGTATTATATAGTCTGTCTTACATTTACTCTCCTACTCCAGCTGCAATTTTGTCATTCTTTACTTCTTGAAATCCCAGGCTTTTTTTTTTTTTTTTGACACCAGAACCCAATTTTGTATTTAAGTGTGAAAGTCTTAAATTGGAAGCTTATGGGAAAGTTGGGGGAAATGTTAGATCATTAAGAAAATCATGTGCCAAACCACGTGGGAGCCTCTTAAATACAACTTTGGTGGTCATGACCCTGGCCAGAGGGGGGGAAGTCTGTGATGTCACCTCTTCCCTGAGTCCCAGTTTCACGGATAGTATCTCTGAATGGAATTGTCTGAGGGAGATTGTTCCTTGTGAAAAGTTCACATGATGGAGTCTGAAGAGCTTGTTTTCCTCAGAGCCCAGCAGGATAGAGTGGTTTGGAATGCAGCATTCAGTGTGTTCTGTTTGGCTGAAAGCTGTCACAGGGAACAAGTACTTAGCAAACAGCATGAACAAGGATTTGAACTAGAAAAACGAGAAGAGCCTTGACAACATTGTAATAGTGGCTTGTGTCCTAAAAAAACTGCTCAATGGTACACAAGGAGGTGATAAAGAAGACTGGGAAAATAACATAAATAGATTTGGGTCTCATTCAAAACTACCCAATGGAAGAGCGTCCTAATATGGGTAAAGTTAGAACAGAGGTTGCTGGGTCACTGTGACCATCCCGACTTGACTATATCTGATGGGATTTTTGCCTTTTTTAAGGCAATAGCCCATAGACTAAGTCTGTGCCTATAGGATGTCCATACAA